AGGTGTGCGGCTGGGGTACGCGCGCTCGTGCAGATGGCTGGCGCACCCCGCCTCCTCATCTCCGGCCCTTGGCGACCCTGGCTTGCGCACCGGGGCAGATGGGTTAATGCAAAATGCAGATGGATCCCCCGGAGGACCGGGTGCAGGGCGGGGGAGAGGTGCTGCCGAGGCACTCGTCTGTCCTCATATCAACCTTTAAGTTTAGCGGGGCCGAAGAAAGGGGTGTGTGCATTGGGCTTCCCTAAAGGTTACCTGTCACTTGTTAAAAGAGGAAGAGCCTTGAGTTACTGAACCTTTTTATGCCGTTATTCTTAGTGCTGGAAGTAGTTCCCCCCCGGGAGGGAGCGACTCTTCAAAAAGGAGGCACCTTTTGCTAATTTTACTTATAGTTTAAAGAAATAGCTGAAGACGGGATGAAACCTTTGCCTTTTAAATCTTTAATTTCAAAGTGGTGGGTTTACAAAAAAAATGTTGGAAACACTTTTTCTTTGGCAGTGCTAGAAATTGACTCTCAACTGACTTCTGAGACTATGTTTACAGTTAAATTTGTCTAGACCGGAAGGTTGAGTTCACCTACAAACCTCTGTCTTATTCAGTATATTTTCATCTTTTTTTTTTTTTAAATGTTCTGGGCACTGCTTTAAACAAGTAAAGAATATACTCTTTTTCAGTTTAGAGTTAACCTTTTTATTCTCTTCTTTTGCAGATAGGAAGTGCAGAGACTCCCATTCATGGCTCTCCATTCTGTTTCCTGCAACAGCACACACACTCTGGTGTCTCACCTGTTTGGAAATGGTTTATTATTAGTGTGTTTGGTGTGTTTCTGTATTTATTTAATTTCTTTTTTGCTGTACTGGGGGCTGCACCCAGAACCTCCTGCATGCCAGGCAAGCATCCTAGCATCGAGCCACACACACACCCCAGCCTTCTCCCACCTTTCTGTTATTTTCGAGACGCGGTTGGGTTAAGTTGTCCATGCTTGCTTCGAACTTGCAATCTTCCTGACGCAGCCTCTCCCAAGTACTGGTATGACAGGCATTTCCCATCATACCCCATATCCTGGCTTATGCTTTGCTTTTAATTCCTTGACCTCCCGTCAAGACACAGGAATCCTTTTCCATTTGGGAGCAAGTCTTTAAAGTTCTTAATGGAATATGGTGGTTTGAGGGGAGGGGGGCGGCGATGGGCACCTATTCCGTCAGTCTGTATACTTTGTTAGTCTTCAGGGTTTTTGTTTTGCTTGTTTTTTTTTATTATTATTTTTATCAGATTTGGGTTAGTGCTTTAGTTTTCATAGTTAGAAAGCTGAATAAGACAGTGCTTTCCGCTGTTGTTTTTAATAGCAAGAGAGACACTCTAATGTGTATGCTATTGAATCAAACAGAAGAAGAGGCCAGTGATTGTGTGAGAATCTGAATTTCAAATCTGCAAAAGAAAGGTGCAGAAAGGTAAGTTTTTGGAAATAGAGTGGATTGTGTTTTCTCTTGTCAAGGTGCTCATTGTGTCAGCTCTAGAAAATTGTCATTTTGAGTTGTGATCTATTTGCTAATAGCATTTTTTATATATAGTAATTTCTTTTGTTGGAGGAGTTGTTTTCCCTTTGGAAAGGATATGGAGTCTTAGTCTTGATGTTTTGAACTCTTGGGCTCAAACTGATCCTCTTGTCGTAACTTCCACCTGCCTCAGCACCCACAGTAACTGGGACTACAGGCCATCTGTGTCCTCTCTTTGAGCTGTATAGCCAGTCTCAGGAGCTACTTTATATCCACTGTACTCAGGATATAGCTACAATCTATATTGTATTGTATTGTAGTGTACAATAGCTACACTGTATTCAACAGACACTTTAAAAATACTTTGTATCATATTTGAATTGGCCACTTCCTGGTAAAAGTAACAAGAGCTCCCAATTGAATGGCAGACATTGTATTACATAAGTTAAGAGTTCTCTTAACTCTAGTGGTGGTGTATCATTTATATGTGAACCAATCTAGGCTTATTTAACTTGGCCAGTTAGTTTATTAGTGACAATGTAAAGACTTCAATGTAAGTTAAAAGTTGGATGGGGTAGCAAGTTTTCTTTTAAGCAGGAAGTAAAGAATTGTGTGCTTTTCAGTTTCTGTGCTTTTCTTGATTTCTGGTGGCTGTGCAGAGTTATGCAAAGGATCCTGGATCTTGAAGCCTAGCAGAGTAGTCCATTAATAGGCTGCTCTGGAGAGTCTTTATTTCTTTTCTTTGAATATAGGAGAACATATATAATAATCTCAGAAGTTGGAATTCTGCCTATCCAGTGAGATAATTGGGAATGTGTCAATGTATTTGTGCTTTTGTTTAAGAGGATTTGTTATTGCATTTATTTAGTTATTTAGTTAGCTTTCTTTGGTGATAAGAATTGAATCCAAGGCCTCAAGCATGGTAAGCATGGCTTCTATCCCTATAGTTCTTTTGAGGGTAATTTGTTTGGCCAATTCACATGAATACAAACAAACATAAAAATGCATATAAACCATGTGTCAGCTTACCAGGAAGGACAAGACCGTATTGTTGACCAATTGTACTTTTGATGAAGATTCTATCATCCTATGACTTCATAGTTCTCTAGTTTGTACAAATGCAAACTATGATGTTTTCAACAATGGCATTTCTCAGAATTTACCCTTCCTTTAAGTAGCACATCAGCTGTACCACCCTTTATCTATAGAGATCTTGGCCGTAAATGACATGGTTAGCCTAAAATGACAGTAGTTTGAATAGCTAGTTAAAAACAAATTTTGTTTATCATAGCATAAAAAAAAATTGAATGCCTTTAAGTGAAGCATATAGCTTCTAGTTCATTTACTCTAGCTGTTGTTTACTACCCAGTCCCCTTAGCTAGTTTAAATTACTTGTTTACTGAGGTCATTAACATTGTCTAATGACAAAGCAGTTAGCCTTACACATAAATTTTATTTTTTTCTTGTCAATCTCAGCTTTTACAATTTTGTCATATAAAGCATGCTTTAGTAAACTGATTATTTTAGACAATAATAAATTATTGAGTATTTTTTGGTGGGCTTTTTATCATGGGATATAAGTCAGTATGTATACACTGCCCAGCTTCAACATTTATTATAGTTTAGTCAAATGTACTATGTCATATAACTGCCTCCATTGGGTTCTTTTGAATGAAATCCCAGGCATATCCATAAACATTCTATCATAGCCCTTTGTAACGATAAGGACATTTAAAAGTAACCATCCTATCATTATCATTCCCAGAATTCTAGCATTTCCTTTATATCATCAAACCTCTGGTCAGTTAATGTTAACATCTCAGGATTGTTTTGTTCAAATTAGAATACAAGTAAAGTTCATACCTGTATATGGTTAATTTTCCAGGCCTCTGTTTACTGTGGTTCTGCCATTATATTTACCCCTCGCTATTTGTTATTCTGGATCTTTTTCTGATTGAACCCCTGTGGATACAGTTTTGTTACCTGTTTAGTAATTCTCATAGCAGATTGAAGGGACAGCAGTTTCATTCCGGTCCCCTCAGGACCCTTTTTGCTTACCAGAATTGAATTAGTTAAAGTGGTTATGGGTATCTCTTACTTCCCTGCAGATTTTTTCAGTCCATGCCTGAAGGAACATTTTACATGCAAATTATTTTTTTTCGTTTTTTGAATCAGAGTTTTATGTAGCCCAAATTGGCCTTGACCTGGATCTTCCTGCTTCTACTTCTCTAGTGCTGGAATTAAAGGCATGAGCCACCAAATCTGACTTTTTTTTTTCATTTTTTAAAAGAAGAGGTCTTGTGTATATAGCCTTGGCTGGCTTTGTACTAGCTATTTAGTCCAAGTTGGACTCCTTTAGACTCCTCTTAGGGCTATAGGAGTGTGCCATGTCCAGAGGGATTATTTTATTTATTATTATCTTAAAATTAATTATGAAGCTACTTTGAAATCCTGAAAAATATTTCTGAAATCCCTCAATTACAGAATCATGAAGTAAGCTTTGGTATATAAAAGGCTATTATATTTTAATTTTGTAGCACATGCATATTACTGTATTTTTACAAGTATCCTATTTTGTGTATGGGGGGCCATTTATTAAAAATTAAAATGATTTCTTTTGAAAACTTCAGCATTTACTGTTTAAGATCTTATATTCGTAGAGCATTTATTTGTTTTTAAAGGAAATGTAAACCAAGACAATGATTTCTTTTCTTTACAGAGACCATGAACGTATGGTGCAATAGCCCTACTTTTGGTGGGAAAAATATACAGCCATTCTGGTGAAGCAGTGAGTAGTGGTGTCAGTAGTTTATACTACAGCTTTGAGGTTGAGGACCTAGGCCCTCTAGTAGTATGTGTGAAGGTCGGCTTGAGCTGTACATTCTGAATTTACCGGTGATGATATCTTATCTTGAAAGGTATTAGAGGGCTTGTATAGTAAGTAAAGTAACAGAGGCAAGTGCCAGTCACGTTCTGATCCAGACAACTTCTAGGATGCTCACTACTGTACTGAGTGAGGTCCTCCATTGCATATTGCTCTAATCTGACTGTTTTGGTGGGCACAGATTCTTAGTTGGTGGTAAGTAAAAACCTAGTTTGAATCTGAGAACAAAGAATTGTGATAATTTTTCACTTTGAGACAGGGTTTTACTATGTAGCTCAAGCTGACCTGGGGTTTGTAATCTTTCTGCCTTAGCCTCCTGAGTCCTGGGATTACAGGGTTATAATTGTCTAGGTCCCAAATAATTTTTATCAATTTTATTAGATCTATTTTTATATTATATTCCCCCCTCAAAAAAAAAAAAGTCTTTTTGGACAGGCTTGCCACATACCCATGCTGGCCCTGAGCTCAGATGTTCTTGCCTTAGCTTCCCGAGTGCTAGAATAACAAGCCTGTGTCACCACATCTACCTATAGGTGTTATGTGTTAGGTAGCTATTCCAGACGTGCTCTATTGGACTTGAAACTTTTCTTTCTTTGAGACAGGATCTTTTTCTGTGGCCCAGGCAGGCCTTAAACTGTCCTTGATCTTTCTGTCTTAGCCTTTTGAGTACTGGGATTACAGGCAAGACCATGCTTGGCAGGAGTCTCTAATAAGGTTAATTTTCAGCCTTTTACACATAAATAAGACCATACATTAGTGTGTGGTCTTAAGAACATTTAAAAAGACATTTAAGTCATGATCAAAAACTATGTGTTGATAAAAACAACTTTTTGCGGGGGGGTTCTATTAAGTAGCTTGAATATTAGTGCTTATCTTCACTGTCTCACTGATCTCAGATTGTAAAAGAGGAAAGATGTTATTTGGCCTATCAAGTACATCATTTCTTAGTAGCTTAGTTCTCCCTGAACTCCTAAAATAAGATGCACATTACCAGAAAGAAGCTTGCTGTAGTGGCTGGCAGATAAAGAAGTAAGTGGTGGTTTAGTTACATTCTGCTTGGATTTAATGCAGAATAACTTTGCTAAACACAGTTTAATCAGTGGTTCTCAAAAGTGTATAGATTTCTGGGGTTGGAGAGATGGCTTAGCTCTTCTAGAAGATACAGGTTCAGTTTCTAGCATACACAAGGCAGTTCACAACTGTCTTACCTGCTCCAGAGGATCCAACCTTCTAACCTTCAAGGGTGCAGTACACATGTAGTTTGCATAAATACATGCAGGCAAAACACCCATACATATAAAATATTTTTGAAAACACATAGATTTCCTTCCCCATCAATTTGATTTCATTCTGTGATTCTGGACCATTTAGGAGATACTAGTTTTGTTTCTTTGTTTTGGTTTTTCGAGACAGAGTTTCTCTGTGTCACTTTGTTGCCTGCCCTGGAACTAGCTCTTGTAGACCAAGCTGGTCTCGAACTCATAGAGATCCTCCTGCCTCTGCCTCCCGAGTGCTGGGATTAAAGGCGTGCGCCACCACCGCCCAGCAGGAGATACTAGTTTTTAAGGAATATTTTAGCTCAAACAGAAGGGTAAATTTCTTAATCCTGCTACAAAAAGTTAATTTAGAATGGAATATAACTGCAAACTAAGAAATGCATTTGGAGAATGCACAACTTTGGTAGCATATCCAGATTATTGCTGTAAAGCTGGTATGTATACTTGGAAGTGATTTCTTAAATTTAGCTTCCTGTTGCAGGTACAAGTTGTCTATAATTTTTGTTTTCTTCCCTTTGAACCAATTCTATATAGCTGCCTACCCCTGTAGTTTCACTTCTCTCCTCATATTCATATCACCTAGCAGCGCTGCCAAGCTTTACTTTCTGGACTTGATAATAACTACTCTGCACTTGCCATTTCTTTCTCCTTGAGACACGGTCTTTAGTCCAGGCAGGCCTCAGTTACTGTGTAGTTGAGGATGGCCTCTATCTTGAGTGCTACAACTATAGATGCATGCTACCACTTCTTGCTTTTAAGAGGTGTTGGGGAACCAGTCCAGGGCTTCACCGATGCTCTGTAAGAACTCTACCAACAGAACTATTTTCCAGTCCCTACAGTTGCCATTTCTGTGTTGTATACGTTGTTTCATTTCACTCTGAAAGGTTTTTCAGGGTTAAATTTGTAGACATAGTGCCAGAGTAAGTAAATTGCTTGAAATTATAAATGGTAGGTATTAGTAGGGCTATATAAAATGCCTGTTATTGGAAACCACAGGGCCCTGTGCCTTGGCTGGCCTTAAACCTTGAGGCTTCCCGTCTTAGCCTTCTGACCTCTGGAATTGCAGTGTTGACAACATATCCTAGCACTTTTAATTTTTTTAAATTTCTTTTTCTTATTGAGAGAGGGTCTCATAAAAAGCTTACCTCAAACTTGGTAGCTGAGCCTGCTTGAAGTCCTGATCCTCCTGTTTCTTCTATTCCTAAGGGCTGGGATGGCAGAAATGTGCTTTGGTTCCTAGGTAATTTTCTTTTTCTTTTAAATTTATTTATTTCATATGCATTGGTGTTTTTGCCTTTCATATATGTCTGTGTGAGGGTGTTGGATCCCGCGGAACTGGAGACACAGACAGTTGTGAGCTATCATGTGGGTGCTGGGAATCGAACCCTGGTTCTCTGGAAGAGCAGTCAGAGCTCTTAACCGCTGAGCCATCTCTCCAGCCCCCTAGGTAATTTTCTTTTGCCAGTATTGGGGATTGAATCTAGGACTTCATGTACATTAGAGGAGAGGAGCACTCTGTCACTGTTTTGAAGCACTGTCGATACGTTGTCTAGATTGATCTGTAACTTGTGGTCCTCTTGCCCTAGCCTAACCAGTTACTGCCCCCACCCCAGGAGTCACAATGCCAGCCTACTAACCCTACTTTAATTTTATTTTATCTTATGTTTTGGAGACTGAGTTCAAAGGATGTCTTGCAGGATTTGGTGTTCTCTTACCATGGTAATTAAATTCAGGTTGTTGGCTTGTTGGCAATCACCTTTACCCACTGAACTGTGAACCATCTTGCATGGCCTTTTGTTTGTTAGTTTCTTGAGACAAGATCTTGTTATTTAGCCTTGGCTGGCTTGGAACTCACTGTGTAGACTAGGCTGGCCTAGAACTTACAGAGATCTGCCTGCCTGCCAGTGCCTCCCAAGTGTTGGGGTTAATGCCTGTGCCTTTTTAAAAAACAAAAAAACAAAAAAAAACCAAAACTGGTCTTCTGTTTTCTAGCCTAGGGTTCACTATGTGGGAAGAAAGCCTTGAACTTCTTACCTTCTGTCTTCTAACTCTCAAGAGTTGGGATTACAGGAAAGCACTACCGTATGGTAGTTTTATGTCGTGGACTGTGGACTAAATTTAGAATTTTCTGCAGGGGTAACATTTGGCCAAGTGACCTGCATCCTGAGCTCTGTTTTTAACTTGCTTTTATTTATTTGGTATTTGTGGGCACTCATGTGTATGTAAACATGCATGCCATGGCTTATGTGTGGAAGTCAAAGATCTACTTTTGAGAATCTGTTCTCTCCTACTGTGGGTCCTGGGGTTCAAACTCTGGTTTTGTCAGGTTTGGTAGATGATCCCATTTACTGGGGGAACTATCTCACTGGCCCTCAATTTAAAAAAATTTTTTTTCTTGTTTTCTCAAATGCTTTGGTACAGCCAGATATACCTAGTTCCTGGGCTATATAAGAAGACCATGTCCAAAAGAAGATATGGTTCTGTAAAACAAAGATTATTCCTTGGCCAGGCAGTGATGGTAGTGGTAGCAGTGCACGGCTTTAATCCCAGCGCTCGAGAGATAGAGACTGGTGGATTTCTGTGAGTTTGAAGCCAGCCTGGTCTACAGAGTGAGTTCTAAGAGAGGTAGGGCTACACAGAGAAACCCTGTCTTGACCCCGCTCCAGAGGTTCTCTATCAACCTTTCTAATTTTAAATTTTTGTGTACAAGTGTTTGCCTACATGTATGGCTGTGCACCATTGTGTGGTTGGTACCCATGGAGACCAGTAGGGAGTATTGACTCTCCTGGGACTAGAGTTACAAGTAGTTATAAACCACCATGTGTGTGTTGGAAATCAAATCCTGGACTTCTGGAAAGAGCAACCTGTGCTCTTATACCCTGAGCCATTTCTCTAGGTCCAAGATTAGATTTAATATATATATATATATATATATATATATATATATATATATATATTAATGTGCATTGGTATTTTACCTGCATGTGTGTCTGTGTGAGGGTAATGTGTCTGTGTGGAGTTACAAGCAGTTGGGAGCTACTATGTGGGTGCTGGGACTTGAACCTGGATCCCCTGGGAGAACAGCCAGTGCTCTTAACTGCTGAGCCACTTCTCCAGCCCCAAGATTAGATTAAAAAAAACCAGCCTATTTTTTAATGTATTTTTTGAGGGAATTATCTGTCTACATGATGTATTAATTGAGAACATTATTTTCCCTACCACACTATAGTAAATGATACGTGTTTACTCATTTGTAAGAGAGCATATGCTTGAGTACATGTACATGTGTGCTTGCAGGTGCATATGGAGGTCAGATGTCAATTTTGGTGTCATTCCTCAGGTGTCATTCCTTGTGAATGTTTCCCTTGTTTTGAAGCTTTAACTGTTACCAATTATGTTTAGGTATGTGTGTCTGCATGTGAATGCAGGTGACAGGTAGACCAGAGGTGTTAGATCCCCTGTCTAGAGTTATAGATAGTTGACAAGCCACCTGACTTGGGTCTGGGAACTAAGCTTAGGTTCTCTGGAAGACACTGCGTAGTGCCATTCTTCTAGTACCTCTGTCTTGCTTTTTGAGACAGGTTCTCTCAGTGGGACCTGGGGCTTACAGTTTAGACCAGGGTGGCAGCCAATAAGTTC